GTACTGCACTAGAGGGCTGGAAAAGTACTTTGGGAACCCAGATGAAATGATAATCGTTATCTTTTATCATGTGGACTCACAGAGGATTTTATCAAAGGAGTCACATTTTTATCTGGTCCAAAATGAGTAATCAGGCAAGTTAGCAGCTGCAGGCTGAGGGAAACATTTTAGACTGAGTGAATGGACTACAAAAGTGCAGAGTTACGGACAAGAAGAACGTGTTTAGGAAATGTGACAAGGTCTGTGTACCAACAATGTATACCTGTGACTTATGAGGGTTTGGGAAAGAAGAGGCCTGCAAGAGGCATCCTAGAACTTAAAACACGTTGTATGCCATGCTAGACATTGTGGCTTTATCCCTGTAGGCAGTAGAAACCGGCAGAATCCTTCACCAGAGGGAGTGACCGATTCTTATTTTTCAAGGTAATTCTGGGAATACTCTGGAAGATGGCCTTCAGTAGGGAGAGAAAGTAGAAAATGGAAAAATTAAGGAGGTCATTGTAAAAATTTAGCTGAGAGATTCTGAGTGCTTGGTTTAGGTAATGAAGAGGGAGAATGGAACCTGAATTTTTGAGGAGGTATTTTTAAAGTTGAATCAACAGAAGTTCATTATAGTTTCAGGGAAGGAGAAATTGGAGCAGAGGAGGGGTTGACGGAGAATGAAAATGGAGAAGGTATGAGGAAGAGGGAAAAATTCTTTGCAACTCTCAAGTTCCCAGGTTAGAAGATGGAGTGAATGTATGTTCATGGATTAAAATCAGAATCCAGGGATCCCTGGGTGGCGCAGCGGTTTGGCGCCTGCCTTTGGCCCAGGGCGTGATCCTGGAGACCCTGGATCGAGTCCCATGTCGGGCTCCCGGCGTGGAGCCTGCGTCTCCCTCTGCCTGTGTCTCTGCCTTTCTCTCTATGTCTGTCATGAATAAACAGATAAAATCTTTAAAGAAAAAAAAATCAGAATCCAGTATGTTAGGAAAGGTGTAGAGTTGAGTTTTGTATGTGCTGCATTTGAGGTGCCTGTGGAGCCCCTGGGAATGCAGATCTGGAGAATGGAGAAGGGACTCAGGCTACAGGGAGGCACATGGTCCTCAGTTTGGTGCCAACCATGAAACCAGGTGAGAAGAGGCAAGAAGTTAGAGTATATGTAAAGTTAAAAGGAAGTGTAAGAGTGCTGACATACTTTGCCTTGTAAATATTTGATTGATTATTTGTATTACTAATGGACTCATATGAAGCAAAAGAAATGGCAACATTTTCCTGAGAAATCTGCAAGATTCCATTCAAGTTCTCACAAGTAAACTGTCATATATCAAAACAGGTTACTTAGGTGGAATCCTCTGTGTAGAGCTGCGTGACTGAGCAAGTGAGCTAACCTATATTTGACCCTCAGTTCTCATCTATAGATAACCCAGCCCCATATGGTCTTGCTGTGTTCACTCTTGCTTCACTGCAAGGAATGCTCTTTATAGTGGTCACAGAGATTTTTTTTTTGTCAACTAATGTGACAGTAATCCCTGTGTAAGATCTCACCTCTTTCCTTGGCCCCTGCCAACCTCTCTTACCTCATCATCTCTTACATCTCTTCTCTTTACTTTGTCTCCTCAGCTCTGGCTGAGGGATCCTTCTTTCTGTTCAGGCCTTAGGGTCTATGTATATGGTAGGTACTTAATATGAAATGAACGAATGACTGCCTTCTAGGTTTGCTGTGAACAATAAATGTGAAAAATATACAAAGAGCCTATTATGTGCCTGGTGCATTAAAAGTATGAAACAAATGCCACTTTTGATCATTCTTGTCCCTTTGTTACCTACCTATAATCCTGATATTTCTCCATATTTTTTTTTAATTCTAATTTACCTTTCCAACTCTTTCCAACCAGCCAATTTACTGTCTTCGGTTTTTACATCCTCACAGGCTGTAGTCCATGTGTGTTGACATCTCTCTTCATTTGGCACTTGATATGATTTTATCTGATTCTCTGGACTTTTTCATACGTGTATTCTACTGGGCAACCCTATTTCTTATTGTGCTTAACTCATTATATATGGATTCCTGGTCTTAGAGGACACTGAGCATATAACAACCTTCCTACATGAAATTCTCAGGAGAATGGGAATCCTCCGGGGACTATGTCCCAGGACTACCAAGGGATTCTTACAACTCATAAAGTACTCTTCCTACTACATTATTATTATTATTTTAAAGATTTTATTTATTTATTCATGATAAACATAGAGAGAGAGAGGCAGAGACACAGGCAGAGGGAGAAGCGGGCTCCATGCCGGGAGCCTGACTTGGGACTCGATCCTGGGGCTCCAGGATCACGCCCTGCACCAAAGGCAGGCACTAAACCGCTGCGCCACCCAGGGATCCCTCACTACTACATTATTATTTTGTGCATTTGGAATCAGGAATTTGTTAATAGTAGCCAATACTTATTGAACACTAACTCTGGGTCAGGCAGAGTCCTAAAAGCACTTTACATAAAATAGGTAACTTTATGATTTTGATTTTATGAGTAGTCCTTATACTTACTGACTTATCAAGGGTCACGCTGTTAGTGACTTGCAAGTTAGGATTTAGGCCTGGGTGGTCTAATTTCAGATTCCTACCAAAAGTATATTTGACTATACTTTTGTATTCTATAGTGCTCCAGGAGCAGTTCCAGAGTCATAGGATTTTTATCTTTTTAGTGTTTAATTTTAAAAAATAATATGCAGCTATAGTTTTTTTTTTTAATTCCAACATTTCTTCCCTACCATTCTACTTCACCATTTGGAGCCTAATTTCATGTAGGACAACCAGTATTAACAATATTTTCAGATTTTTTTATTATGTCTTTTTTTTTTTTTTTTTTAACGTCCGAGTGATTCTCCTCTCAGCTTTTTGTCTTCTAAAAATCCAGCTTAGGGGCACCCTAAGTGGCTCAGCTGGTTAGCCATTTGCCTTTGGCTCAGGTCACCATCCCAGGGTCCTGGGGTTGAGCCCCATGTTGGGCTCCCTGCTCAGCAGGAAGTCTGCTTCTCCCTCTCCCTCTGCTGCTCTCCTTGCTTGTGCTCTCTCTCTGTCAAATAAATAAATAAAATCTTTTTTAAAAGTCAGCTTATTCCTCATTAGTTGGGGAAAATAATAGATGGTCAAAAGATCTGTCTATTACCTGAGTTGATCCTTAGAGAAAGGTATTCTATCTCTGTCCCAGACAAGCTTCTAAAATTAATTAAACTCTTACTTGTTTGGGACCCATTTACATTTCTGAAGGAGACCTACTTCTAGTCTACAACTCGAGGCTGATGAATTCTTCAAGTTCCCAGGACTGAAGCTGTGATTTGACAATCCATGTGTGACTGTATCACGTTGATGTTCAGAAAAAAGCAGGCCTTCCTGGCTAAGGAAGTAGAGTGTGATGCTCTTTCCAGTGCATGGCTTTATGGACTCAAGAATCTTGGGAAGACAGTTTTGTTTTAGATCCTTATGTTTTCTCTACTTCTCTGTTCATGAAGAACTATAATTTTTAATCAGGAATACAAAAATACTGCTGTGGAAGTGGCCATGCTTTTCAGCATGCAGCAGAACATTTTCCTAAAAAGTGAGGTCACCAGAAGCATGGAGCAGAGAAATCCCAGATGGCACTAATATTTGATTTCATTTTTAGCACGCTCATATTCAGCAGATGGATTGGAAGGCTGACCTCTCTGACACTTCTGCATCACTGCCTGCTACTCCAATTGCTTTTGCGAATGTTTTTTCATAAGGCTTCTCCTGGTACCTCAGAGATTGATGCCTGGTCGCCCGCCTGTGTTATGCTTCATTACACCAAGGCTCTGTGTGGTTGAGAGTTGCTGTATTCTATAAAAGGGGAAATCCTAGCTCATCAGTATCTCAAACTTTTCCTACACTCTCTCAAATTGCTTGTAGCGTGTTGAAGAGCATCATCTTAGCTTCCTCCATATACATCTGATTTATATCAGTTTTTTTTTTAGTTCTTTTCTAATTTTTCTGCTTTCTTCTGTGACATAGGTAAATTACGAGTAATATAAAAAATCTTCTAGAAATGGCTAAATTGACGATTTCCAACAATCTTATTATATTAAGGTGAATATTGTTGAGTTCCATCTCGCAGAGAGGCAGAGAGGACAGACCTGGACTAGAGTGCCTGACTCTGCCATTTCCCTTAGACTTTAGTATTAGCCTCAATTTCCTTGTTTGTAAATTAGTGATATTCTTAGTGCTGAGTGGTCAGGATTGCCCTGAAGGTTAAAGTAACAAATATTGTTTGGTCATCATAATATTGGCACAAAATCACTTTGGTTATGTTATTTTTTGCTTAATCTTATGTCAGTGATGATAGTTTGCATTTTGCTTTATGTTTTCTTTTGCATATGCAGGTAATAAAAATAAAATATAAAAATAAAATATAAAAAATATAAAAGTAAAATATAAAATTTATTTGGATTACAAGGAAAGCAAATTGTTAAGGAGGAAGTTTTTACTGACCAGACGATGTTTTGTTGCAAAACTTTTTATAAAATTATTTTCACTTTTATAGGTCATGACATCATCCACATACCTATTTAGAGATGGCTTCTGTGGGAATGAAGCATCCTCTGCCCCTCCCTCCCGTCCGCTCCATCTAGTTTATATTTCAGTGATGGCGGCTAGAGAAACTATCACACAGCATGAATATCCAGCAGGTTTTTGTGTTTTTCCTGGCAGGTTGACCTATGTGGCCATTCTGTAATGTTCTCAGGGAATCCTCAATTCTGAGGAGGATTAGTTTGCTTAAATCCTTATGTGTTGCTGCTTTGCACACAACCAGATTTTGGTATATATTTTAATGCAAAGCCTACTTTTGGCTTAGAGAACATTGCATATTTAATAGCCTTTTTGCTTGAATCAGATCTCTACCCAATGTGATGTTGATGAATTTAGGTTTTAGATGATTAAACTGCTATTTGGTTGTGAAACTTTCTTTAGGAAGTTACTTTTTTTCCCCTTTTTATAGATCAAACATAAGGCCAGACTATGCAGACTCCAATTTCCATGAGTTCAAGATGCACACCTTCAATCGGGTTACATCCTGCAAAGTCTGCCAGATGCTCTTGAGGTAAGCTCGCACGGTCCCGTGTTTCAGTTTAAAGGAGCTGGTATAATTGCTCCATGTTTCCAACTTTTCTAATATCCCAGCCAAAATGTTTGGAAGTGGGGAGATTGCCTTGACAGTTTTGAGTCCACAGACCTTTCCTCAGCCTTGTGCCTGGATCCTTCCTTTGGAACCCCAGGAAACCCTCTCCCTGTGCTAAAAGACTTTGCAGAGCACTGTGTTCCCCTGTTTTCTTTCTTTTGTGATTCCATATAGGCAGATTTTAACACCTTTTAACATAATCACTCTCTAATTTTACCTTTCAGAGGAACATTTTATCAAGGCTATTTATGTTTTAAGTGTGGCGCGAGAGCACACAAAGAATGTTTGGGAAGAGTAGACAATTGTGGCAGAGTTAATTCTGCTGGTAAGTCATGTTTATTGTTGTGATTCTGCTTTTAATTAGGATATAAAACTTGATAAACATAATTAAGGTCTAATTTACTCTCAATATGTGTTTATTATGACATCTCTGCTTTTGAAACTATCATTTATAAGGACAATTAAAAAATTGTTCAAAATTCCTATGACTTTTACACATACCTGGGAGGCAGAGGCCTTCAAGGGGGGTTTGGAAGGTTTTGTGCCACTCATTTCATTCAGCCCAGCCCCCGAATCTCACTAATGCTGTACAAACATAGCCAAAGCACACATCTCAAAGGACAAAAATAGAAAAAAGTATTTTTCACTTCTATCTTAAGTCCTTAAATTTCTCCCTTGTTCTCTTAAATATTCAGCTCAGAAATGCTAATGATGCCAGAAGTAAACATCACACAGACTAATTCATGAATTAATGAATTGAATACATTGTCATTTTACAGCATTTAACGGAGAGCATATATCCTTTGGATTTTATGTAAATATTTTCCCCCTTGGTTTTTAAAAATAATGCCCCATGACTGTTACATGAGCCAGTTGCTAAGACTATTGGCAATTATGCATTCAATAGCCTTTTGCCTCTTTCTCCTCTTGGGCTCTCTTCCTCCTCTTTCTTTTCTGTCCTCTTTATTCTTTCTCTTTCTTCTTCTTTCTCTTTGTCCTTTTCCCCTGAGTTTCTCTTGTGTTTTATCAATAAGACCTTTCAAAATCAGTAAAACTTTTTGAACAGAAGAAAGGGATCTTTAACAGCTTGAGTTCAAAAGGTAGCCATGTCAACCTTTGATTTTCCCAAAGGAAAAGGTGGACATTGAATTATTTTGGATAATATGAAGAAGAGTGAAACAGAATAATAGCTCATTTCAGAGCTGAGTTCAGAAAATGGGCAATTGTAGAAAAGGTGTGAACCCCAGTAGAGGACTGGGATCACAGCACATTCCTCTCACTCTGCTCCTTCAGTAGATGGTTTTTAAGGTTCCCATGAGCTCCCCATGCCAGGAATGGGTTAGTTGGAAGGATCCTGGGTTAGTTGAGCACCTGCACTGGGCTCTCTGCCAGGCCCTTCCTGCACAAACTCGTTCAGTCCTCAGGGCAGCAGTTCCCATTTTCTGATGGGAGACAGACTGTTCACACAATTGACGCAAAGTCTGCTAAGACAAGGAGACAAGATTAGCACCCACTAATGTTTCTGAAGGTCAGAGACAGTTTACAAAGTTGTAAAATATAAAAGAAATGTTACCTATTACTATTGTTATTCTTCAATTGTCCACCTGATACAGTTATGCAGTTTATCATTTAAATTTTTGTTCTGTCTTTATTTGGCCCAACCTTTCATGTCTTTGAGGACAGTTAATATGTTCATGGTAGGACATTTTTTTTTTTTATTAACTACCCCCCCCTCCCAGCCCTGTCTTAGGAGTTTGTGAGAAATGTGAAGTGATCTCATAGTTGGCATGGTTCTTGCGTTCTACTGGAAGAGTCCAAGAGAGTAGTTGAGAGTTAAGCAGAAATGGTGGAAAATCTCACTCTGCCCTTTGCTAGCTGCACAAGCTTGGGGGGGTGTTACTTAAGCATTCTGAGGTTTTGTTTATTTTTCTATAAAATGGAAATTAGAGGATTATCATGAGGATCAAATGAAATAATGTTGATGCTTAGCACAGTGCCTGGGCACAATAAAAATTCAGTGCTTTAATCCGTGGTGCTGTGATGAGAAGCATAGGTTTTTGTTTTTTTAAAGGGCTGGGTGTAATCTGTATCTTTGCTGTTGTTTTTATGATGTGAAGCAAATGTGGATAGAAGAAATGTGAACACCAAACTTTGAGGTGATAAAAATGAAGGATGCGAAAGGACTTTAAATTTTTAACTTTTACTTGAAAAAAGTCCATAGGAAACAGTTGGGAATTCCTGGTCAGGCAGATAAAAAAGCGGTGCATTACCTATTCCCAAGTCATCATTCCGTTGTGCTCCAGCCTTCAGTGAGTAACTCTGGAGCAGGAGACTGTGTGTGATGGCAGTAAAGCCCGAAAGATCTGGAGTCTTGGTCTGGTTTGAATCCCTCTCCACAGCTTACTCACTGGGTGACACTGGGACCAGTTACTTAAACTTCCTAAGTCTTAGTGTTTTTTTTTTCCCCCTTTCTAAAATAGAGGATAATAATAACGCCTGTAGCCTTTACATGTTTATTTTCTTAAAACAAATGCAAAGTACCAGGTACCATTCCAAGTATATTTCTGCCATCAACTCATTTAGTCCTGTGCAAATCCTTTATAGTTGGAATTACTGCCATTCTTATCTTACATATAAGAACCCAAGGCACAGAGAAGTAAGTAACTTGCCTTAGTTGCCTAATCAATAGAGCAAAGATGCAAATCCAGGCCTTCCAACTCCTGAATTTGTTCTTAACCTCTGAGTTCTGCTCCCAGTCCTGTGAAGTAGCTATGAGGATCTATGGAAATGTCTTGAACGCATAGTACCTGACCCTTAGAAACAACCGTGGTAAAATCATGAATTTGGTTTTCTCTGAGAATGAAAGAGATTTTCTAATTCTTACTTACTTATTTTTATTTTTTTTTAGCAAAAACATGTCAATTCAATTAAATTAGTAACTACCAAATGTGTTTAGATTTCAGTCCTTTGAAGTGCTGTGAGAAATTCAGGACTCCCTGGGACCATGTCTGCCCTTTCCCCGTGGAATATCTGAGAGCTGGAAGATTTTGGCACCCACCTTCAGTTCTAGGACCTTTTATTTTAAGATGAAGAAACTGAGTCATAAAAGCATGAAAATAAAGTAAAAATAAGGCTATTATGCCCTGCAGATTATAGATAACACTTACTTAGATATTATTTATTACAAGCAACCTCATTCTCTAAACTGTTATGGAATTCACTGTAAAGTAGGAAAGAAAATTTTTAAACCTCTGGCTAGATTTACTTCTTGGAGTTTTGAACATAGTTCCCTCGCCTTCTTGATTCTCTGCCTTACATCTGGTGGTGGACTCCATCCTCCTATTTTACATATCTATGTCTATTTCTCTCCCTTTCTGCCCTTTCTGCCCTTTCCTGCCCAAGATTTTAAAAGACTGATGGCATTGAGTGCACATAGTCTGTTAATTAGTGGTATGAAGTAGGAAGAACCTGCCCAGGCGGCTCCCCTGTTTTGCCTCCAGATTAGGATTTTCTGGGTGGCCCTTAGTAGTAAGGGGCCTTGCCTACTTCTCGCTGTCAGCAGTCCTCTCCCACACTCCTAAACACATGCCCACTCAACATTGAAAGTTATGACATCCAGTCCTTGAACTCACCTGTTCCCGCACTGCTATGGGTAAAGTGTGAGTTTAAGCTTGGCAGGGCTGACGTGAGTGTGGTAAGAGAGGCAGGATTTTGAGCACGTGGGCAAGCTAGCCTTGATGGGTGTTTCCTGGCCAGCAGAGAACCAACACTGGCTTATGTTGTACACAGTCCTCTGTTTGAGGGTCAGGACCTGGATGCAGTGAGAGCTGCTTGCACTAGTTCAGCAGTATAGTTTTTTCCATGACTGGTATGACATTTGGGAAAATATGGAGGTAGAGGAGGAGGAGGGCAGGAAGAAGAAAAAGCTATATCGGGGCCTGGAGACATAGTTCCCTGGGGTGGGCCTTTTTCTGGCTGAGAATGTCCCATCAGTTCAGGAAAACTTGACTTGGGGGGTGGTATCAGCTAAATTCAAAGCAAGTGAATAGTATTGATTTAAGGCAAACTCAAATGCTTACATAATTCAAGTTACCACATAAAATTGTATCCTAGGTGACTTGAGATTGACCTCCACATTATAGAACTTTATAGCTCTGTTGCCTAACACAGTTCAAGTATATTCTCAGGAGACAAATAGAGATTCCAGTCAACTCAGAGTGAGTCAGGAGTCTACTTGTGGTCCAGAAAGCTGTGTCTCGTAGGAATGGTTACACTATAAACATTGGGTATTTGGGGTAGAAGGCAGTTCCAGAAAGTGGAGCATGCCAGTATCACTCAACATTGGTCCAGATAGAGAAGAAGGACTAGTTGAACAAAATGACACAGTAACCCAAGGCCTAGATGAAGGTGAGAAAATCTTCCATTCTACCTTCTAATTGTCAAATGCACTGGTCATCACATTGCAGGCCTCACCTAATTTGACCTTTCTCTTTTATTCGGCACTGTTAACCACTCTCCTTAACATCCTGCCATGTTATAGCCCCCATGCCATCCTTTGGATGCCTGATTAATTTCCCTGGCATTAACTATAACCTACACCCAGGTAGATAAGTCACCAGTTCCACGTAAGGCTTTTCTCTTGAACTTTGGATTCAAAATGTCTATCTTCTTCTCTCATATCCCTTCCCAGGTGTCCTGCAGTGACCTCAAATTTCACATATCTAAAACCAACCTCATTAGTCACTAACACAAACTTCCTCCGTCTTAAAGGTCCAACATCCATACACTCACCCGAACCTGGGTGTCAGCCTTGATTTACCCACCTCTCTCATTGTCATTCACTTACCTGGTTTTCTTAGTTCTCCTCTGAAGGCTCTCTAGAATCCACTGATACGGTATTGCTATAGATTAAAAAAATAAAATTAAAATCTCGATTTCACTTGTTTGGGCGACAACAAAAGCTTCCTAACTCCTGCTGTTAATTATACTCTTCCTTGTATGATTTCCAACATGATTTTTATGAAAATCAATTCTGATGATGTGATTCTACTGCTGCTGTACTTTCTATTCCTTACAGAATAATGTCCAAACTTGAATTAAACTGGAGCCTCTCACTGATAAGAACCATACTTAACTGATATTCTGTTCCCTGGGAAGCCATGGTAGATGGATGAGTGAGTGGACAGACTGACAAACACATGGACAGATTAATGAGTAGAAGTGCGGCACCAGGGTTCCTGGGCTCAGAGGATCACTGTAGTGTTAGACCCAGAAGCAGGAGGCTGTGGGAGATTGGACCGGTTTTGATTCTGCCCTTGTAGACCA